GTGTTTTTCTCTCAAAAATGCACTGAGCTAAAAACTACTTTTTTTTAAGCACCTAAACTTTTCCAATTGAATTTTTATTTTTTTGACCAGCTAAAAATGAAGGCCTCGATCCCTTTTCAATCCTTATTTTAAACGCGTGCTTCCACAAATCTGAACCTACTGGCAGCGAGGACTGCAGCCTGGGGATCAAGGAAAAAATGGGGATTCCATGAATTTTCTGGGCTGCCACAGTGGGAGCTTTCCCGGGATGTCGGCTACTCACAATCTTTCCGCGTGGTTGCATCGGGAAGCGGTGCGGCGAGGCTGAGGGTGCTCGACACGCTGGCACTCGCGCTGTCCAAGCTGCTGCCGAGGTGTAACCGTCTCATGTGTCGCACAACCGCTGTGGCATTAAACGCTTGCTGGAGCAAAAAAAAAAAAAAGAAAGAAAGAAAAAATAAAAAAATGGGAGTTGGAAGGGTTACTTCTGCTCCTCTCCTAGCTGCTCAGAATTGTCAGAAGTGAATGAGTCCATCATCTTTCAAGCTTTCCTGATTTCTAGTTTCTAAGCTACAAACAGGAATACCAAACCATACGCATTTCTGCCCTGGTCCTGCTCCCCGTTGTTCCTTCTAGCACTCAGTTGGGATGCGGCAAACTACAAGGAAAGTCATATTTGACACATCCTTCCAGGCACCAACACAAAGGGTGTCCGCTTTGCTTCGTGTCCCCCCCGTGGTGCTGACCCCAGCTCCACATATTACCATGGGTGCTTTAGCTATGAGCAGCCCCAGCCCCATCTCTCATGCTCACTATGTTTATATACTTGGTTAGTAGCATCCCCTATAAAAGGCCCTGCAGGGCATGTAGCCTAAGTCCAGACCAACTATTTTTACCAAAATTTTGGACCACAAAAGCACTAACATGCTGAATGGGTAGCCATATGGCCACCGCATTAGCAGAGTTACGTGTCAAAGCATCATCCCTGAGGACAGGTCACTTACTCTCCATTTGCTTTTTGCGAAGTTCTTCCGGATCTGAGCGCTGACTGACTCATGGATGTTTTTGTTGAGTGCTGTATCACCAGCAATCCTGAAATGGACAGATAAGACAAGTTTTAAGCGATCTTTTGCTCTCCTTGAATAATCTTTCTTCTTCTCCTCAACAGAGAAGGCTGGTCCAAGGTGTGGTTGCTCCTGCAGTGATGATGATTTCATTCACACAAAGGTTCAAACTTCCCACCGCTGTCTCTGCTGGCAGCAGTGGTGGAAAATCTGGGGCAATAAAAGCAAGAGTAGATAAGGCTTGTAGTCTGGCAGCTACAAAGAGGTACGACCTTATTTTGTTGGTGCGCGGCTGTTTTCTATCACCATTACAGCCCTAGATTAAAACATTCTACCTTCTTTTTTTTCCTTTACATCTAAAGATTTAACATCAACAGGCTGAGACTACTTTTAGCCTCAGCCACACAGCAGCTTCCAGACCCACTCCAACCTGTCTGATTTCTGTTTGCACTGGAGATTTTCCTGCCACCCTGCAACGTACATAGCCATTCAGCATGATTAATGTAGATTTACAGTAAAGCAGATACATGGACTCTAACTAAAGCGACACAGGCTGCACAAATAGCTTACGCTGAACAACACTCAACCTAAAAACTTGACTGACCTTGCGCAGTTTCTTTAACAGACAAAGACACATTCAAATCTTCACTAAACATAATTATTTCAAGGGAATCTTACTGATTCACTTAACTTCTCGAGGCGTGAGATCTGTCAGAAGAGTAGGCACCATCGTAAACTGATGTTGGGCCATGTGCTGGGGTAATTAGTGCTATCTAATGCAGGTGATGCCAGGAAGCAAAGATTGTCTGCTCTGCTGTACGTGGTGTTTTCAGAAATAAAATTTTAGCCACAGTGTAGAAAACCAATGTCCACTAGCAATAAAAAATTATAAGAAATTGAAAAATCCAGGCCTAGAGCCTCTTGGTCTGGGGACCTGCAACAGAATAATCACAGGGTCTGGGGTTCTCAGAAGTCATCTAGTCCTTCCCTCGACCCCACCTCTGTCAAAATAATTTTGACAGATATTTAGCTAACCAGTCCTTAAAGATCTCCAAAAGATGGAGACTCCTCAGGCAACCTCTTCCAGTGCCCCACTATCTCCCAGAAGACACGGAAAATAGTTTATTCCCTTTGTGTTTGAAGCATCCTTTCACATATTTGGAGACTGTTATCATGTCTTTTCTCTGTCTTCTCTTCTCTAGACTAAACAAACTGATTCTTTCACTGTTTCTTCATAACTCATATTTTCTAATCCTCTGATCTAGTGAGCTTCTCTGGACTTTCTCCAACTAGTCCACAACTTCTTTAGAGGCTGGTACCCGAACTGTTTGCTGTTTTCCAACTAAGGCAGCAGAATGGCAACATTGCTTTGTGTTTCTTAAAAGATGAAACTCTGCTTGCATACCCCAGCCTGCAGTTTCCATTTATGTGTCCCATGAATTGAAGACATTTCTTTTATTTTGCCCAGATCATTCCAAACCCTGTTCTTCAAAGGACATGCAGTTTTTTCTACCTTCATGTCAATGGCACTTCTAAGCACTGCTATCTGGGACCAATCTTCTCCAAATTGTTCCCCTCCTTGCTGCTGGCAACACTCACCCAGGATGTCAGAGAGATGAGAGGAACTACTTACTCTTGGGAGGAAGGTGAGGGACTAAATCCCCATCTACCAGGAATGGAGAACCACCAATCATGTCCTGTTGGAGCTGAGCTAATCTATATTGAGTTACTCAAGAGCACTGGAGCCAGCAGGATTGTGGGCAGGAAGGAGCAGGGTTCCCATTCAGGGTAGCCCACTTCCATCTGAGAAGGACACTTGACTGACCACCACCACCACATAACCTCTATCTCAAGTAACCGGAAGAACTGGTACCATGAGGAAAGCATGGCTCCCAAATGGCACCTGAGATCCTCTCTTGGGTCCCCATGCTGTTGATGGAGAAAGGGAGGTGTTTGACTGAGAACTGGAAGATCTTCAGGTCTTTCTCTGAAGAGGATTCCTTCTGATCACCTCTCCCACTGACAGAGACACAAGTTGGTCTGCATTTCCCACTGGGGCCACGTGGCTAAAAGCTTGGTGAGGCAGTATCTAGGCTAAGCATCATGTTCACTGTTCCATCCTCTATCCCTCCCAGGGAATATTGCCAGGCCCAGCACAGACCCTGACGGATCCCACGCAGTATATACTCCCAGATGGATACAAAGCCCAGTTGGCCTTGCACCCACCATAACAGTGCATTTTCTGTATTTCTCTAGTATGAAATCATCACATGAAGCAGCTCCTACAGCTTTACCACAGCCGCACCTACATGACCCAAACGTCATGACACAGAGTGTCCCTGACTGCCTCCAGGTCACTTCCATGAAGAGCTGACCAGAAATCTGAGAAGACTGTGTTGCCTGCCCTGCACAGCTCGTTAGCTTGTGCAGAGCTCGTTAGGTGCACAAGTGTGTGCAGATTTGTGTCCGCTCTTCTTGCACACCGCTCAGCCTCTTGGTGCAGACGGGCCCTAGCAGAGTTTCCCGGTGGGAACGCAAACTGCTAGTGAGTCACTCCAAAGTGTCATGAGCACTCTACTCTGTCCAAGAACACCTCCTCGGTGAAGGCAGTTGCCCTCAACACGTACCAACTGGGAGCACTGGTCATCACACTACACATCTGCAGAAGAAAACCAAACCGAACTCTTAATATGTGGACAGCTACAAGCCCACGTATCCTTTCAGCAACTGATAAAAAAAGACCAAGCTGCAAAGAGAAAATTTACTTGCATTTGCGAAGAACATTTTTCCTCCAAAGTTAATGAAGCATTTGGCTTTATTAACAAGTTTGTTAACGTGCTATATAAGCATAGAGCACGTTTCCCACTTGTCAAATTTTATTTTGGAAACATGGACAGAACAAGTTCTTGGGGTATGATACCCTTGCCAGCTCTTCCAGGAGTCTCCACAAGGACTTGCAAATGCATTTTTGCTATATGAACCTTTTCCTTGGGCGTGTAGCTCAAATGCAGGCTATTTTTTTTTTTTGAGTTTAGGGATAATTTTCTGAAATGCTGGTGGTTTCTATAAGAAACTGCTGTTTCCAGTATAGTTCACAAACTGTCTTCTACCACCACTGACTCTACGTTCACTATGTAATTCTTGTAATTCCAGAAAAAAAGTCTTGGTATTTGGGTGTTTCCCACATAGGCAGAATTATACTTGTTTACTCCACAAGGGGATGGACAGACACCCTGTGAAGGCCTCAGATGCCACAGTGGTGGGCACCATCCTACATCTAAGGTCTCTTCGGCAGCATTAGCACCTTGCAGATGCTAGTTTTTAATCAGAGTAAAATAACCGCAGTGCTGGGGCTAATTTAGCACAGTAGGATCTGTTCAAACATGTGCTGGTATGCTGAACAGTGTGGCTCAAAACACAGCCCTGGCTGCCAAAGGTATGGGATCATTCTCCAAGCTGCCTCTGAAGAACTATCCTGTTAATGGCGCAATGCCGTAACATGAGGACTGTGCTTTTAGACTGTATTTTGCACTTGGAGGATCTCGAAACTTTTATAAAATACTTGCGGTGTTTGCGTGTTTGCAGTATAGTTTTACTTCTAGGAAAACAAGGGAAATGTTGCCATCCATTCACTGTTGGTGTTTTGCTGGAGATGTGCTGGTTTAAGGACACATGCAAGAGAGGTGGAGGTGAGGAGGCAGAAGTCATTTCTTTTATACAATCAACTGGTAGAGTTTGAAAAATGAGATAGGCTTTTGGGCATGCAAGCCTACCCTGAGGTGGGTATCATAAGCATCATCACATCTATACTGAATGTATTTAATCACAGACTTTAGGTCCCATGCCGAGAAGATAATGCATGAAAATTAATAAAGATACTGGGTTTAGAGCATATTATAATAACTCTTCCACCTTTCCCTAACTCTCCAAGTCCACAGGCTATAAACCATCTTGCTTTTCCTTTTAGGACAAAAATACCTTAGCATCTTTCTTTCTTCCTCCCTCCCCAACATACCCTTCTCCTACAGGAATTGGCTCCATTTTCCCTGAGAAACAGTCATCTTCTGTCTCAGAGATGATCCAGCTGATGCAGATCTAGTCAAACCCTGAGCAGTAGGTCTTGGCTTTGCAGTTAACTTTGAAGTTAACTATGTCAGCACTGAAGTTTGTTTTTGCCATCTATATCAGTTGGCCCGGTAAAAGACATTACTTCTACCTACCCCACACATATACAAAACTAAAATGAAACAAAACAGAATAATGCATGATCTGTTATTGTGTTGAGCATCATCCAGAACTGGGCATGGACTGATTAACCTAACTGGAACCTGGCTTTTCTCTTGAAGTCCCCATTATTGCACCATCTGGAAGCAGCTACATCCTAACAACAGTTTGGGGAACTTCGCGTTGAAGTTGGTCTTACATCCAGTTGTAAATATGTTAAGTGTCTCAACACACAGACTTGGATACCAAGGGCTACCGTCTGACAACTCTCCATCACAAATACTTCTACTGAAGATAAGAAGGGTATTTCTCATTAATAACTATAACAAATCTAGCCCTGCACATGAGAGGAATTTAATCGAATGATCAAATACTGTTTCATAGTATCTAATTTATTTTAGCTCTCTATCTGGGTTCAAAGCTATCACAACAATTTATCTGGCCATACCACTTCGAAGCGTTGAGAGGAACCTCCAACAAAGACAAAACCAGTAAATTTCCTTTTGGACAGTTCTTTGTTAGCATACTGCAAGCATATGTCTCTTGCATCCTCCCTGCCCACGACGGCAGGCAGAGACTTTCATCTACCGTTATTTTCTGAACCTTCATACTGAAGGCAGCCAACTCAAACGCTGTGCTGGCCAAACAGTGCTTGGAAATACTCTTGAGTATGATGACAGGAAACATGGAGTTAGCTGTAATGGATAATGCTGAAGGATCATAACTCTTCTGTACATACACACACACATATATACACACACATACACACATGCGTGCGTATAAATATACACATGCACATAATCT